ATCGTAAAAGGCAATCAGGTTGGTCTGACATGACCTGCCCCTAATGAAACCGTGCTGGTTGCCCTTGAGCATCATCCCTGAAGCTGGCCCATCGCAGATGTGCTCCTTCATGATCTTCTCAAAGAGTTTCCCTAGGATTGAGGTAAGACTGATGGGCCTATAGTTGCCTGGGTCCTCCCTTCTCCCTTTTTTAAAGATGGGGACCACGTTGGCTATCTTCCAATCATCTGGCACCTGGCCCGAGCATCCTCAGTGGTCAGGTCAAATGAGGTTTTTGAGGATGTGTGTAGTGTAATTTCCATTAGAGAAAGTTCCAGGGCACTTACCAGTTACATAACTGTATGCCATGCACACCAGGCACAACATCTGCATGTGCACCTGGGACTGCATCAGTTTGAGTTGGGGCAGAGTAGCTATGGGATGACAGTATGCTTGATGGGTCAGGCCCAGGCTCCAGGTGGTGGCACTGAACAGCAGAACAGGTGGCTAGAGCATGAGAGAGCTAAAGTATGGAGCTGTGCGGCAGGCAGACCGCACACGTTAGCACCCTTGTGCCCCAGCCAGCCTCTGTCACTGTCTACACGAGCATTTTGTCACAGTAAATGATTCCACCATTAGACAGTACTGTCTCTGAGAATACAATCTTATAACAGAGTTAATTAATTTACTATGATGCATGTGTAGATGATGACACCTTATTGCACAGCTAATTCGTTAACTCTGCAGTAAATCACATATGTAGATGCACCCATTGTTGCTAAAAGTGCAATGGAAGCTTTAGCATTGATGAAGCACAGGCATGGCTTTTTTTTTAAATGTGAACAACCTACATAAAATATTGAAAGATACTCACTTTAACAGTCTGTCACCTCAAAAGTGAAGAGGTGTCTCCATACTGTTTGGCCTTGAAATGTGTATCCAGTGAGCTCTTACATGTTCTGAAGCTGATGCTTAGATCATTCAGCTATCCCTTGCACAACGAGATAAACAGTCACATATTTGAAGTGTGATATATTAGACCAGCCACAGCAAAGCTTAGAATTACAGTACCTGAAAAAATACATGAAGGCCACATAAATATTATAATTTATAAAGCAGTATTACATTTTAGTTATTTTCCTAAAATTTGCCTCTTTTGACAGAAAGAGTAGATATTTTCTTCAGCAGTCACATGTAGCCATACTGGGTGCATCCAGATGAGCGCACATGCATTTCCTCAGAAACAAATAGCAGCAGCACATATTTGTGCCACTGCTACTTATACCTGGGGAATGCCCCTGCACACATGCTCTGGAGCATGGCAAATTGCCCTGATTCGGGTAGGGGAGGCTGGGGCCAGTACCTGGGGTGGCCCTAGCAGCCTTACCTGGGGCTCTGGGGGCCTCCCAAGGCTGCAACGGTGGTAATCCAGGTGCACAGAGCCTGGCTGGCAGCTGGAATGTGGCTCTGGCTGGCCAGGCTCTGGTTTTGGACAGCACATGCTGCAGCCATGCTGGGTTTTTTTAAGCCACTTTTTTAGATACCAGAATTTCCCAGTATACAATAAGTTTAGCTCTGTGCTGCAAATATGCAACTCAGAGAATCTTTTCACATGCACCAAATGAATTTTGCAGTGCCTCAAAAGCCTTTGAAGTGCCACAAAGTACACATGCATAGTCATCTGGATGTGCCCACTGGAGTTAGGGTCAACTATATCTAGAAGACACTCACTGCCCTTGGCAAGAATTTGAGATGCGCTTTAGAATTGACTGTTGCTGATCATGGCCTGTTTCTTTGTCATGTGGAGGAGGTTTGTGAAGCAAAGTGCTATTCAGTGTTCTTTAAAACTCCGTGGAGTCTTGACATCAAAACACTTTAGTGAGCAATATCTTGTAATATTTATGTGAAAAAGGCCACGCTCTTTCTGGGCCTTAGGGCTCACAATCTCTCTACCACATTCAGTATCATATCTATATCATTGATTGCTATTATTATAACAATGTCTGTATTACATTTAGTGTAGCATAACAAAGTAGTTAACAGTTTAGACATTGAGAAAAAACACTGTAGTGTTATCTACGAGTATGTCTATATGTCACAATGCGGCACCAAATTCCGAGCAAACTACCATAAAGCAGCAGAACTGCATGAGCAGTATCATTTCATAGCAGGAACAGTCAGCCTTAACAGCAGACTGTGCTAACACAGCTATACTGCTTCCCTTACCCAAGTTAACTCTGCTACATGTCTCTATGTTCCATTACAACATGGAAATCTCCTTGGCAATTCAGATGGTGATGGTTCACTAATGAAAAGGAAATACAAACTGATTATTAATACTCAATAAAACTTGCACAGGACACATACTTAACACAAATGAGCAAATAAGTGGAGTATGAAAGAGGTTAGGCTCTTATTTCATCAACTGTTCCAGCTGTATCAGCAGCAAACCTTAACAGATAAGCCTCTCAAAATAAAAGTTAATATAACTACCTCCCATCACTGGATTGTGATCTCTAAAGAACCTGTCAAGCACAAGTGTGAAGAAAAGTCAGGTTAGTATACACAGGTTCTCCAATTCTCCCTACCCCCCAACCGACCAAAATAAGACACGTTTTTAACACATTTTTGGACTGATGTAGCTAGAGATTCCAGACATGAGTAAAGCACAGAAAGAGAGAACTTATGTCACAGAAGGGCCAAAAGAGACCTCAAGAGGTCATGCAGTCCAACCCCTTGATCAATACAAGATTATCCCAAGCTAGTCACTCCAGAACTATTGCCCCAGACAGATACCAATGAGAGAAATGAATGTTTGGTTTTGTATATGGAACTCAATGGACAGATCTCACTATTGTTTCTATTCCTGTCTCAACTGAACAGATAAATTTGCTTTGAGCTGGATCTTATACAGAGGGGAACTTCTAAATCTTGATGTTGGTTTGCATACATTCAGAAATACCCATATATTTTTCATAGTAATTATAAGCATTCATCTCTCATGTCTAAAGACCTACCAAATTCTCAGCAGAAGTGGGGGTACACTACAGCTCCTTTAATCTTGCACGTTCCCCTACATGCCCCTCCATCACTGATTAGTGGAGGGGCTGTGCTTACAGCAAACTCCTGATTGGCAGGGAGGTGAAAACTGGTTTTAAATATGGTGCCATTTTTGCCTCCCACTGCTGAGGGGCCCCAGTGGCCCAATTCTTATTGCTGACTGGTGGGGAAGCAAAACCATGCCATGTTTTAAACCATGGTTTTCACTTCCCTGCTCACCAGGAGGGAGCAGTGGGGCCCCTCAGTCAATCAAGGATGGCAGGGTGGGGGGAGGAGTGACACATGGGGGAATATGAAAGATTAAAAGAGCTGCCACACCCCACTTCTGCTGTGAATTTGGTAGATCCCTACTCATGTCTGATTTTGGAGGGAAAGAAAAAATGTAAAAGCCACATACTCAATGTATCTAACAGGCTGCTCTACCTACATCACAGGTGGTGAAAAGGCAGCCCCCAAGGAAGAAGAGACACAGAGTTCTGGTCATTGGGGACTCCATCCTTAGGGGAACTGATGGCCCAAGCTGTCGCTCCGACCCCTTGTCACAGGAGGTCTGCTGCATGCCCGGCGTGAGGATTCAGGACATCACAGAGACTATCCCAAAGATCATTAAGCCCTCAGACTATTACCCTCTAGTTGTGGTCCATGTGGGGACTAATAATGCATCTAAGGCTAAGACTGACTCCATCATGGAAGACTACAAGGCTATGGGTCATATACTTACAGAGATGGGAGCCCAGGTGGTATTTTCCTCCATCCTCCAAGTGGATAGAGTAGAGGCCATGAGGCCTATATCAGTGTAGTTAACCGGCATCTTCAGAGATGGTTCTATGAAGTGGGCTTCGGATTTCTGGACAATGACTCATATTTCTGGGCTGAGGGCATGCTGGGGTAGGATGGACTATATCTCTCACCCAAGGGTAAATGCATTTTTTCCTCTAGGTTGCCTGATCTCTTTCAGCGGGCTTTAAACTAGCTGCGTTGGGGGAAGGGGCCACCCAAAGAAGAAGGGATGTTTCACCAACTAGCAAGGCAACAAGAGAAACAGAAACCCAGGTAAGCAACAATGGGCACAGCAGTCCTGGGAGCAGAGGGGAGGTATGTGCACTCTCAGGAGGCCTCACATGTCTGTACACTAATGCATGTAATATGGGGGGAAAGCAGGAGTAACTTTGACTTCTGATAGCAGGGATGAATCCAGACTTAGTGGGGCTCACAGAAACCTGGTGGGATCCTACCCGTGACTGGGTGGTGGGCATTCAGGGATACACACTATATAGAAGGGACAGGACTGGGAGGAAAGGCAGAGGGGTTGCCCTCTATGTCAAAGAGCAACTCACATCATATAGAATTAGCTTTGGGACAGAGGAAGGTCAGGCAGAGGCACTGTGGATCAAACTTCAAGGGGGACAAGGCAAAAGGGATCTTACAATGGGTGTCTACTATAGACCACCCTGCCAAGGGGTTGAGTTGGATCAGAATTTCTCAGTACAGCTTATGGAGGCAGTTAGGTCTAGGAATGTCATTGTCATGGGGGACCTTAACTACCCAGATATCTGCTGGGAGGAGCAGTCAGCCAGGTCTGACTGTTCATGTGGGTTCCTAGCTGAAATACAGGATCTCCATATTATCCAAGAGGTGCACAGCCCCACTAGGAGAGATACCTTGCTGGACCTGGTCTTGGCCACTGGGGATGACCTGGTGAGGGGACTGCAGGTTCTTGACCACCTGGGTGACAGTGATCATCGCCTGCTGGAATTCACCATCCAGCACAGGGTGTTGAGGGCTTATACTAAGATTAAAACCCCTGAATTCAGAAGGGCCAACTTCAGCGAATTTAGGAGATTAGTGGGGGAGGCACTGAGGGCCCAAAAGGTAGAGGATATGGGAGTCCGTGAGGGATGGTCGTACCTTAAGGGGACAATCCTCCAGGGTCAGAGTGTGAGAGTCCCCAAGAGAAAGAAAGGGGGTAAGAGTGCTCTGAAACCCCCATGGCTCAGCAAAGGCATTTGAGAATGCCTGAGGGCCAAAAGGGAGGCATACACCTGGCGGAAGGGAGGGGTTATGACCAAGGAGGAATACTCCTCCTTGGCCCATGAGTGTAGAAGGGCTATTAGGAAGGCCAAGGCGGGGGTGGAGCTCAGGCTAGTGACCAGGATTAAGGACAACAAAAAGTCCTTCTTCAAAAACATTGGGAGTAAAAAGAGGGCACCAGGTAATGTAGGGCCCCTGCTAGACTTAAATGGTAATCCTGTGGCTATGCCAGACAAGAAAACTTTTTTAACAAGTTCTTTGCCTCTGTTTTCTTGGAGAGGGAACAGGACAGCTCTCCCACCACAGGTAGGGGCAATTTTGGTGATAGCACTTCCAGGCCTCGGGTCTGCGCAGATGTAGTTAGGGATCTTCTGGAAGGGCTGGATGTTTTCAAATCTGCAGGCCCATGGGTGTTGTGAGAGCTGGCAGGGGTCATTACTGTGCCCTTGGCCTGGCTGTACGAGCCATCATGATCCATGGGCCAGGTGCTCAGATTGGAAATTAGCTAATGTGGTCCCCATTTTTTATAAGAAAGGGAGAAAGGAGGACCCAGGAAACTATAGGCCCATAAGCCTCACATAGGTCTTGGGGAAAATCCTTGAAAAAATTAGCAAGGATCACGTCTGTGAGGGGCCAGCAGGGGAGATCATGCCCAGGGGAAATCAACATGGGTTTATCAAAGGCAGGTCCTGCCTGACCAACCTGATGGCCTTTTATGACCAGGTAACTAAATCCCTGGATGATGGTGTTGCTGTACACATAGTCTTTCTGGACTTTACAAAGGTCTTTGACACGGTCTCTCACTCCATTCTCATTAATAAATTGAGCAACTGTGGCATTGATGCTTACACAGTCGGATGGGTCAAAAATTGGCTGATGGGGCACACCCAGAGAGTGGTGGTGGACAGGTTGTACTTGACCTGGCGGGATGTGAATAGTGGGGTCCCCCAGGGCTCAGTCTTGGGGCCTACACTGTTCAACATCTTCATTAGCGACTTGGACGAGGGGGTGGAAAACATGTTGTCCAAATTTGCCAATAACAACAAGATGTGGGGAGAGATAGGCATGCTCAAAGGGAGAGAGAGGCTACAATTAGATTTTGACAGACTACAGAAGTGGGTGGATGGTAACAGGATGGAGTTCAATGTAGACAAATGCAGGGTGCCCTACCTGAGGAGAAGGAATCCACAGCATACATACAAGCTGGGGAGCTCCCCCCTTGTGAGCACAGAGGCGGAAAGGGATCTTGGAGTCATTATTGACTCCAAGATGAACATGAGCTGCCAATACCAGACCACAGCCAGCAAAGCCAGCCATACCTTGTCGTGCATCCAAAGTTGCATCTCAAGTTGGTCCAGAGAGATGATACTCCCCCCCTCTATATGACATTGGTCAGGCTGCAATTGGAGTACTGTGTCCAGTTCTGGGAACCACACTTTAAGAAGGATGTGGCCTGCCTTGAGAGGGTTCAGAGGAGGGCCACCCACTTGTTTGGAGGGCAACAGGGCAGGCCCTATGAGGAGAGGCTGAGGGACCTAAACCTGTTCAGCCTCAGCAAGCGGAGGCTGAGGGGGGATTTGATGGCTACCAATAAACTCGTTAGGGGAGATCAGCAGCAAATAGGAAAGGCCCTATTTCCCCCAGCAGCACCAAGGTGATTAGGAACAATGGGCAGAAGCTACTGGAGAATAGGTTCAGGTTAGAGATTAGTAGACACTATTTCACTGTTAGGGTGGCTAGGATCTGGAACCAACTTCCAAGGGAAGTGGTCCTCACTCCTACCTTGGGTAAATTCAAAAAGAGGTTGGACGAACACCTGTCTGGGGTTGTGGGATCCTAGTGTGTGCTCCTACCAGTGGCAGGGGGGTCAGACTAGATGATCTGTTCAGGTCCCTTGTGACCCTAAACTACTATGAAACTATGAAGAAAGAGAAGCTACAGGAAGGTGGGAGGTAAACCTGATGAAAGTCCTTAGGTTAAGGGACAAACAGCAAGAGCACAATGGGTATCTTCTGTAAGCTACCAACCAACAGTAAAACAAGGCTTTTCTTTTTAAGGAACTAACCAAAGTATCCAAATCATAGGACTTAGTGCTAATGAGGGGAGGGCAGTAATTTCCATGGTATCTGTTATGCAAGTAACACAGCCATACAAAGATAATCCAGCAACCCTTTGGATTGTGTGGGGAATAATGTTTTGGAATGGACTGAAACACCAAGTTGATGGGGGAAGCTCTTAATTTTTTGATTTCTATTTTGGGTTGAGAACTGGAAAGTGAAAGGCAACTTGGGTACCTGTGGTCGTGCCATCATGAGTTTGTATTTTAAGAAAAGGAAAGAAGAAGAACAATAGACCTCAGAAAAGCAGACTGAAACAAACTCAAAGAACTGGCAGGCAGGATCCCCTAGGAGCAAGTCTAAGAAGAAAAAAAGTCTGCTTATCCCTTAAATAGACAATACTAAGAGCAGGCTATCCAGGTATACAGCAGATTATCCAGGTACGAAACAAGAGATCAATTTGGCTAAACATGGATTTGTTCAACAGCTTCATATTTACCAATCTCCCAAAATAATGAAAACATGGTGATGAGTATAAGAGAGTATGGGTATAAGAGATAGCACAGACATGTTAGGAGAACATCAGGAAGGCCAAGGCACAAACTGAGATAAAGGTAGCAAGAGACATAAAAAAATAAGAAAGTACTTCTGGAAGTATATTAGAAGGAAATGTGTGAATTGTTAACTAAATTGGGAGAGGAAGCTAATAATGGACAATCAGTGGTGTAAAGGTGGGACAAATGAGGCAGCTGCCCTGGGTTTTGACTTACAGTGGGGGACAACCAAAAAAATGACTGCTGCAACAGCCACGCATTTATATCAACAGCAGTGGTAGTAATCATAAGTCATCACTGCCTCTGTGTGAGGCAGCTACCTTGGGTGCCCAACCATGCCATTACATCTCGGTGGAGAAATGCAAGAAAGTGGAAGTGTTTAGTACCATGTTTTACTTCAGTCTTTGCAAGAAAGATCAATTATCAAGTCATATTTATTAACAAGAATGGGGAAGATCATCAGCCTAAAAGTAGGGAAGAATAGCTTGGACAAGATGAATGTTTTTTGAATCATCATAAATTACTCAAAGAATTGGCTGAGGCAATTGGTTATCATCTTGGAGAAATCATGAAGCTCAGGTGAGGCCACAGAAGATTAGAGAAAAAAAAATATAGTACCCATCCTTTAAAAAACAGAGGAGGACTGTCATAGTACACTAAGGTGCCTGCTCCTATTAGAGCAGAGATTGCCTGGAGAGGGAACACAAAGGGCCAGATAACAGCCCAGGTGCAGGTTTCCATGACAACTGGCTAATGAGGGAATAGGCTTTACCTGCACCTGGTTAGCTGGCCGGAAGAGGCAGGGGCCTAAGCCCATATAAACCCTAAGGCTGGGATCCAGTAGTTCAGGTCCCTGCTGGCAGTCAAAGGGGAAGAAGCCTTCAGGGAGGAAGGGCTCAGAGACACTACAGCCATTGGATATGCTACCCTTAGGGCTAATGGGACACCAGGATCCCATAAGGTACCCTCGCCTCCAGGCACCCAGTATTAGAGAGGGAGTTTTACTCTTTTAAAGGGGCAGAGCATGCCTTGCGCTTTGTTATGCTGTAGCCCAGGGGCTTATGTTTTGTTTGCCATTTTATAAGACCGGTGGTTTGGGTGAGGCTATTTGGGGAAGGAAAAGGCCTCATTGGGGGCCCACTGCAGCATGGGGACCCCGGTGCCAGAGGGGGCAAAGAGATAGGGCTGCAGAGAGCCCAGCAAGGACGAGGGGCTGAATTGTAACGGGGCCTAGGCAAGGCAATGCCAATACCGTCTGTGAGGCTTGGGGTGTGGTAAAGGGGCAGTTGGAGCCATGCATATAGCCCATAAGGCTAGGGTGCCCCCGAAAACACCCATAGTGTAGTGGGACCCACAAGGGGTCTGGGAACCCACAGGGTTCAGAGTGTCCAACAAACCATGGCCAAGAAGACTTAAAGGCAGCCTCCCTATTTTTACATTTCCATCAAAAACATGGCAGGCAAGAACTGAGGGTGCCCATTGGGCTGAATTGGCATGGTCAAGGGGCCTTGGGAGATCACAGCCATCCTTAAGGACCCTGTCCTTTGACAAGGACACAGGGAATTGTAAAGCAGTCAATCTCATAGTGTCTTTACTCATCCAGTGCTTTTCAGTATCAAAAAGGGCTCTATTCCTAAGCACCAACAGGATAACAAAAATAATAAGAACAGATGACATGGACTGAAAAGAGCAAGTCAACCAATCTTATTTCTATGTCAAAACAATGGGTTTTGGGGACTTGTGGGAGGGTAGTGGGAAAGAGGAAGAGGAGAGAAGGGCATTAGAAAGTGACTTCTAGA